ATTTGGGACCCGGAATTCAGAGGTTCAGAAAAACTTTAGATGGGAAAGAGCCTCCAACCCTGATTATGGAGGACTATGTCTTGAAAGGGTTACGTTGCCTGCAGGAGAGGCATGAAAGGGAGCAAGAGACAGGTGTCTGAGGGTATAGCCCAGGTCAGCAACAGTTGAGAGAGGACTGGAGGCCGTTGATCAGCCAAGACCCTGCTAAACCCTTGCGACTTTCCCAGACCCCTGGAACAGGCAGACGCCCTCTCTCATTTTGCCACTGTGCCTGTCTGCACAGCAGCACTGATCTCTTCCTCAGGACAGACAAAGCAGTGGAAGCCACTGGCTCCATCCAGTCAAATCCTGCGACGAAAGAGTGGGGGGTAGGGCCGAGCATAAATAAATAAATCTCTTATTTTTGTGAAATAAAAAAAAAGGCATTTCTGGACTGTTGGACTGTTAATGTTGCTTAGAAGAAAGTATTTATTTTGCCCATCTTTGAAAATCATTTCGGCCAAAAATACCCCTATTGGCATTTGGCCGATATTAAAATAGGTACCGATATTTTTATTATTATTTATTTTTTGATATGGGGGAGCCCAGGGACATCCAAAAAACCCCCGCCACCCAGTGGTTTTTAGCATTACCTGAGAACCCATCCAACGATCCCAGTGCTGGTATAGAAATCAGTGAAGGAAAGATGGCCTCCACTCATCTCTATGCTTTTGGAGGACCGGAGCATCACTTCCAGTTCCACTGCCTTGTAAACAAGGCCATTTTTTTTTAAAGCACTAGATCAATTCTTTACATTGTTGCGGAAAGATGCGGGGTCTTGTTTGATCCCTATTTCTCCATAAAGAGGACCTGTCGCTGCTTATTTCTATCACAAGGGATGTTTGCATTCCTTGTGATAGAAATAAAAGTGATTAAAAAAACTAATTTAAAAAAGGGACAGTGTAAAAAAAGTAATAAAATAAAATTGAAAAAAAAAATTGTTTAACCACTTGCCCTCCTGAGGATTTACCCCCCTTCCTGACCAAGCCTCTTTTTGCTATACAGCGTTGCACTATTTGAACTGGTAATTGCACAGTCATGCAATGCAGTACCCTTACAAAATTTATGTTCTTTTTTTCACATAAATAGAGCTTTCTTTTGGTGGTATTTGATCACCTGTGCGCCTTTTATATTTTTCATGCTAAAAAAAAAAAGACCGAAAATTTTGAAAAAAAAACAAAAAAAAAACAGATATTCTCATTTCTGGCATAAACAAATATCCAAAAAACTCAAATGTTGTAAAAAAAAAAAAAAAAAAAAAAAAAGCACCTGGCTGTCAGGGACTGCTTGAACCGCTACAAAAAAAATGTTACCAGCGAGTGCTAACGGACATCAGGCCGGATTCTGTGAATACTGCATGCAATGTATTACAGGTGACAGGGATCAGAAATTATACTGACACTGCACTTCTTGTTGGGGGGGGGGGGGCATTGGGGCTAAACTCTAGTGCTGGCAGCGAATAGGGATGATCCTGCTAATCCTGCATTTTTGGGGACACCAATACTAAGGGGGCATTGGTATAGTTTTGTTCGTGATCAATATATTGATCCGTACAACCACTATACTAGTAATGAAGGTGGTCAGCAACCTATTGCGTGAGTGCGATAGTGTGCGGGCAATCTAATGCTAGCTGACCCTAGCTGGGAGGGACCCTAAATGACCCTGATGCTATCTGACGTTGCTAGTGGCACTAATGCAGTGATCAATGAAAAACACTGTACACTGACACTGTACTAATGGCACTGGCAGGTGGCAATCAAAGTGTTAAATGTGGCAATCAAGGGGTTACAATTTCTCTAATGTGTGGGTGCAGTGTGCTAAAAACAGGTAGGTAAAAGGTGAGATCAGGTAATATATGTCAGCTTCCATACAGGCAGCTGTTTTGGTAACTAGTTGTTCATACCTTACAACGGAGAACTCTTGACCCCAGAAATTGTCCACAAGAACTGTTGCTCTTAACAACCAGCTTGTTCATTTCATTCTCAGACAAAAATAGAAACATGGAACCTGACTGGTTGCTTTGCTCAGATTCATTCACAAGGGTGAGAGGCCATCAGAACACTTCATTAAATGGGATGGTAATGTACAGGGCAGGAACCAAAAGATGTGTTTCCAAAATAAACATTAGAAAAAGCTATAAAAAATTAAAAGACACCGGCTGTCTATAGGCAAAAGCTAGCTGGCACCAGGGATACATCTCCTAGATCAGTGATGGAGAACCTTTTTTTGAGCCCGAGTGCCCAAACTGCAACCCAAAACCAACTTATTTCTTTCAAAGTGCCAACACTGCAATGAAACCTGAATATCGAGCTTTTGGTTTAGAAAAAACAACTCGTACAGTAGTGCAAACTAATTAACAGTACAGGGATGACCAGAGACTGCGGACGGTACAGGGATGACCAGAGACTGCGGACACGGTACAGGATGACCAGAGACTGCGGACACGGTACAGGGATGACCAGAGACTGCGGACACGGTACAGGGATGACCAGAGACTGCGGACACGGTACAGGGATGACCAGAGACTGCGGACACGGTACAGGGATGACCAGAGACTGCGGACACGGTACAGGAGATGACCAGAGACTGCGGACACGGTACAGGAGATGACCAGAGACTGCGGACACGGTACAGGGATGACCAGAGACTGCGGACACGGTACAGGAGATGACCAGAGACTGCGGACACGGTACAGGAGATGACCAGAGACTGCGGACACGGTACAGGGATGACCTGAGACTGCGGACACGGTACAGGAGATGACCTGAGACTGCGGACACGGTACAGGAGATGACCTGAGACTGCGGACACGGTACAGGAGATGACCTGAGACTGCGGACACGGTACAGGAGATGACCTGAGACTGCGGACACGGTACAGGAGATGACCTGAGACTGCGGGACACGGTACAGGAGATGACCTGAGACTGCGGACACGGTACAGGAGATGACCTGAGACTGCGGACACGGTACAGGAGATGACCTGAGACTGCGGACACGGTACAGGAGATGACCTGAGACTGCGGACACGGTACAGGAGATGACCTGAGACTGCGGGACACGGTACAGGAGATGACCTGAGACTGCGGACACGGTACAGGAGATGACCAGAGACTGCGGACACGGTACAGGAGATGACCTGAGACTGCGGACACGGTACAGGGAGATGACCAGAGACTGCAGGAGATGGGACACGGTACAGGAGATGACCAGAGACTGCGGACACGGTACAGGAGATGACCAGAGACTGCGGACACGGTACAGGAGATGACCAGAGACTGCGGACACGGTACAGGAGATGACCAGAGACTGCGGACACGGTACAGGAGATGACCAGAGACTGCGGACACGGTACAGGAGATGACCAGAGACTGCGGACACGGTACAGGAGATGACCAGAGACTGCGGGACGGTACAGGAGATGACCACAGGACACGGTACATGACCAGAGACTGCGGACACGGTACAGGAGATGACCAGAGACTGCGGACACGGTACAGGAGATGACCAGAGACTGCGGACACGGTACAGGAGATGACCAGAGACTGCGGACACGGTACAGGAGATGACCAGAGACTGCGGACACGGTACAGGAGATGACCAGAGACTGCGGACACGGTACAGGAGATGACCAGAGACTGCGGACACGGTACAGGAGATGACCAGAGACTGCGGACACGGTACAGGAGATGACCAGAGACTGCGGACACGGTACAGGAGATGACCAGAGACTGCGGACACGGTACAGGAGATGACCAGAGACTGCGGACACGGTACAGGAGATGACCAGAGACTGCGGACACGGTACAGGAGATGACCAGAGACTGCGGACACGGTACAGGAGATGACCAGAGACTGCGGACACGGTACAGGAGATGACCAGAGACTGCGGACACGGTACAGGAGATGACCAGAGACTGCGGACACGGTACAGGAGATGACCAGAGACTGCGGACACGGTACAGGAGATGACCAGAGACTGCGGACACGGTACAGGAGATGACCAGAGACTGCGGACACGGTACAGGAGATGACCAAGAGACTGCGGACACGGTACAGGAGATGACCAGAGACTGCGGACACGGTACAGGAGATGACCAGAGACTGCGGACACGGTACAGGAGATGACCAGAGAGACTGCGGACACGGTACAGGAGATGACCAGAGACTGCGGACACGGTACAGGAGATGACCAGAGACTGCGGACACGGTACAGGAGATGACCAGAGACTGCGGACACGGTACAGGAGATGACCAGAGACTGCGGACACGGTACAGGAGATGACCAGAGACTGCGGACACGGTACAGGAGATGACCAGAGACTGCGGACACGGTACAGGAGATGACCAGAGACTGCGGACACGGTACAGGAGATGTACCAGAGAGATGCGGACACGGTACAGGAGATGACCAGAGACTGCGGACACGGTACAGGAGATGACCAGAGACTGCGGACACGGTACAGGAGATGACCAGAGACTGCGGACACGGTACAGGAGATGACCAGAGACTGCGGACACGGTACAGGAGATGACCAGAGACTGCGGACACGGTACAGGAGATGACCAGAGAGACTGCGGACACGGTACAGGAGATGACCAGAGACTGCGGACACGGTACAGGAGATGACCAGAGACTGCGGACACGGTACAGGAGATGACCAGAGACTGCGGACACGGTACAGGAGATGACCAGAGACTGCGGACACGGTACAGGAGATGACCAGAGACTGCGGACACGGTACAGGAGATGACCAGAGACTGCGGACACGGTACAGGAGATGACCAGAGACTGCGGACACGGTACAGGAGATGACCAGAGACTGCGGACACGGTACAGGAGATGACCAGAGACTGCGGACACGGTACAGGAGATGACCAGAGACTGCGGACACGGTACAGGAGATGACCAGAGACTGCGGACACGGTACAGGAGATGACCAGAGACTGCGGACACGGTACAGGAGATGACCAGAGACTGCGGACACGGTACAGGAGATGACCAGAGACTGCGGACACGGTACAGGAGATGACCAGAGACTGCGGACACGGTACAGGAGATGACCAGAGACTGCGGACACGGTACAGGAGATGACCAGAGACTGCGGACACGGTACAGGAGATGACCAGAGACTGCGGACACGGTACAGGGATGACCAGAGACTGCGGACACGGTACAGGGGATGACCAGAGACTGCGGACACGGTACAGGGGATGACCAGAGACTGCGGACACGGTACAGGGATGACCAGAGACTGCGGACACGGTACAGGGGATGACCAGAGACTGCGGACACGGTACAGGGGATGACCAGAGACTGCGGACACGGTAACAGGGGATGACCAGAGACTGCGGACACGGTACAGGGGATGACCAGAGAGACTGCGGACAAAGTAGTACAGGGATGACCAGAGACTGCGGACAAGTACAGGGATGACCAGAGACTGCGGACACAGTACAGGGATGACCAGAGACTGCGGACACAGTACAGGGATGACCAGAGACTGCGGACACAGTACAGGGATGACCAGAGACTGCGGACACAGTACAGGGATGACCAGAGACTGCGGACACAGTACAGGGATGACCAGAGACTGCGGACACAGTACAGGGATGACCAGAGACTGCTGCGGACACAGTACAGGGATGACCAGAGACTGCGGACACAGTACAGGGATGACCAGAGACTGCGGACACAGTACAGGGATGACCAGAGACTGCGGACACAGTACAGGGATGACCAGAGACTGCGGACACAGTACAGGGATGACCAGAGACTGCGGACACAGTACAGGGATGACCAGAGACTGCGGACACAGTACAGGGATGACCAGAGACTGCGGACACAGTACAGGGATGACCAGAGACTGCGGACACAGTACAGGGATGACCAGAGACTGCGGACACAGTACAGGGATGACCAGAGACTGCGGACACAGTACAGGGATGACCAGAGACTGCGGACACAGTACAGGGATGACCAGAGACTGCGGACACAGTACAGGGATGACCAGAGACTGCGGACACAGTACAGGGATGACCAGAGACTGCGGACACAGTACAGGGATGACCAGAGACTGCGGACACAGTACAGGGATGACCAGAGACTGCGGACACAGTACAGGGATGACCAGAGACTGCGGACACAGTACAGGGATGACCAGAGACTGCGGACACAGTACAGGGATGACCAGAGACTGCGGACACAGTACAGGGATGACCAGAGAGACTGCGGACACAGTACAGGGATGACCAGAGACTGCGGACACAGTACAGGGATGACCAGAGACTGCGGACACAGTACAGGGATGACCAGAGACTGCGGACACAGTACAGGGATGACCAGAGACTGCGGACACAGTACAGGGATGACCAGAGACTGCGGACACAGTACAGGGATGACCAGAGACTGCGGACACAGTACAGGGATGACCAGAGACTGCGGACACAGTACAGGGATGACCAGAGACTGCGGACACAGTACAGGGATGACCAGAGACTGCGGACACAGTACAGGGATGACCAGAGACTGCGGACACAGTACAGGGATGACCAGAGACTGCGGACACAGTACAGGGATGACCAGAGACTGCGGACACAGTACAGGGATGACCAGAGACTGCGGACACAGTACAGGGATGACCAGAGACTGCGGACACAGTACAGGGATGACCAGAGACTGCGGACACAGTACAGGGATGACCAGAGACTGCGGACACAGTACAGGGATGACCAGAGACTGCGGACACAGTACAGGGATGACCAGAGACTGCGGACACAGTACAGGGATGACCAGAGACTGCGGACACAGTACAGGGATGACCAGAGACTGCGGACACAGTACAGGGATGACCAGAGACTGCGGACACAGTACAGGGATGACCAGAGACTGCGGACACAGTACAGGGATGACCAGAGACTGCGGACACAGTACAGGGATGACCAGAGACTGCGGACACAGTACAGGGATGACCAGAGACTGCGGACACAGTACAGGGATGACCAGAGACTGCGGACACAGTACAGGGATGACCAGAGACTGCGGACACAGTACAGGGATGACCAGAGACTGCGGACACAGTACATGGAGACTGCGGACCAGGGAGACAGAGACTGCGGACACAGTACAGGGATGACCAGAGACTGCGGACACAGTACAGGGATGACCAGAGACTGCGGACACAGTACAGGGATGACCAGAGACTGCGGACACGGACACAGTACAGGGATGACCAGAGACTGCGGACACAGTACAGGGATGACCAGAGACTGCGGACAGTACAGGAGATGACCAGAGACTGCGGAAAGCACAGGGATGACCAGAGACTGCGGACAGTACAGATGACTGCTGACCTTTGGGGAGGGAGGGGGAGCGGGTACCTGAATTTGACAGGTACCCGCTCTTACTTCCGCAGAGTTTTTTTTAATCTTACCTGTTCCTTTATCCAGCCGCGCGCTGTCTTCCCGGCTTCTGTAGTGTGGGCGCTCGTCGGACAGCCGGATGCCCAGTGCGCATGCGCGAGAAGCGCTGCGCTTTGTGATTGGTTCGGCGGCTTCTGGGATCTGTCATGTGTCCCAGGTACCGCCTTACCATTCACAAAGAGCACTGCTTCTTGCGCATGCGCACTTGGGACCCGGCTGTCACGCACACTACAGAAGCCGAGAAGACAGCGCGCCGCTGGATAGAGGGACAGGTACGGTCCCACTGCAGAGCTGAGCGGCCGGCCCGGTATTCTGACACGGCGGCGGTGGAAATACCGGACCGGCCGCTCTATATTCGCTCCATAAGATGCACTGACATTTTCCCCCCTTTTTTGGGGGGAAAAAAGTGCGTCTTATGGAGCGAAAAATACGGTATTCTCCTGGCGTGCCCACAGATAAGGCTCGGCGTGCCACGGGTTCGCCATCACTGTCCTAGATTGTAAGCTCTAAAGAGCAGGGCCTCGATCCCCTCATGTTTTGCATTGTATTGTTATTGTTCTGTCACATGTTCTGTCCCCCTTTGTAATGTACAGCGCTGAGTGAACTATTGGCGCTTTATAAATACTGTATAATAATAATAATAAACTGCTCAGGGTATACTCCCATAAATACCATTGCCATTTAGGCATGGAATATGGTCTATATACACCATGCTTTTAATTCTCCATAGTCATCCTATAATATAGCCTGCTCAGTCTAGCGACAAAGGATCATGGGAAACCTACCTAAAATACAGAGGAATAAGGCAAGTTCCTGGCTGTGGTGCAGGGACAATATTTTATATGGCATTATTAGCAGGGCTGCATTTCAATCCTTGTAACCTGTATACACACAACCTTTACAGTCTGAAGTAAACACCCCTCTGCTAGGATCACACATTGTATACTATAACTTCTTGCTTTCTTGGCCTTTATCTAGTTAAGAATACTTTGAGAGTATGTAAATTATATTTATAGTTCTATAGACTGTCAGAAAAAGTTTAAATGACAACCAAATCTCCATATTTCTCTTTTTTTTTTTGCTGCTGTGATCCAACTTCCTGTTAGAGGGTTGCTACGCATATTCTCCATTGTCAATAAGTAGGAGTGTAACCATACTCTTGTTTGATTGAGAGATGGTACAGTATGTGTACTATGGGAGTTTTAGTGTGCAATGGTTTCAAATAAAAGTGAAGAGGGATAAGAAGAGGTTTTGGAGCTCAAGAAGGAGGTTACATAGTAGATGCATAATTATTATTTTTGGAGAATGACGATATAGCTTAGTGTCATTTTATTGGTTTTTGTTACCCCAAATTCTTCTATTTTGAGACTTTCATAAAAAAAAAAAAATTGTTTCAATAAACAAATATACAGAGGCACATAGTAACTTGAAACATATGGAAATACACATTGAAGCATAGTGTGCATGGACACAATCCAGGTACAAATACACGGTGTGAGTATGCAACTACCCCTAGCAATCCATTGATGACAAGTACTAGGAATGGGACACATTGGAACCCAAATCATATTGGATGTCCATCAACCGTTCACGTACCTTTAACCGCTTTAGTGCCGCCCCATAGCAGATATACTGCTACAGGGCAGCAGCTGTGCGAAAAAAACAAATATATATGATTTCGCATTCCCTGGTGCGAGCACCATACCTGCGCCTCCATTCGCGGCTGCAGCTGACATTTACCAGGTGCCGGCTGGTGATTACTTGCCGGTGCCCAGTGATTGCCAAGCATCCCCGACGGGGAGAACTGTTAGTAAACAAAACAGTTCTCCTCCCTGTCAGTTCCTGCACACTGCTTTGCATGGCTGTGGTGTGCTTACAGTGAACCAGAAACACAAAACATCACGTAAAATGGCACACAGCACACAGTTAACCCTTTGATCACCCCAGATGTTAACCCCTTCATACCCAGTTCATACCCAGTTCATACCCAGTTAGTATAGTGTCAGTGCTTTTTTTTTTTTTTTAGCACTGATCACTGTATTGGTGTCACTGGGTATGTCAGTGACACCAAGTCAGTTCCCCCACCTGTCAGGAATGCCCATCGCAGTCCCACTCTAAGTCACCGGTTGCCTCCATTACTAGTAAAAAAAAAAAAAAAAAAACCCAGTACATATACTGCCATTTGTAAATGCTATAACTTTCAAAGTCATGTAGAGTTGGCCTAAATTTATGACAAAATTTGATTTTTTTTACTGTTTAATTGCAAAATGTCTAAAATATTGTTTTTCTCAAAATTGAAGGCTTTTTTTTTTATAGCGCAAAAAATAAAAACTGCACAGGCAATCAAATACCACCGAAAGAAAACTATTAATGGGGAAAAAAATGTAAATTTCATTTGGGTGCAGTGTTGCATGACTGCGCAATTGTAAGTCAAAGTAACGCAGAGCCGTAACGCAAAAAATGGCATGGTCAGGAAGGGGGGTAAATCCTCTAGAGGGCAAGTGGTTAAAGAAACCTTTGAATCGCCGTGGGGGAAAACCCAAACAGGACAACCCTGTGACCCCAAATTATTTTCTAAATAGCAGTTCAAAAGAACAAGAAGCAAAGCCTAATTTATTTTGCAAATGACACTGGAAGCAGACAAGAGCTAAATAAAAGTTTGATCTGGGTAACAATATTTTGTCTTATGAAGCAGGCAAAACATGCCGAGCCTTCCTTTATCTGCCCTTATCATATGAAATGAACACCCATGTGCAGGCTGCCCAACAGAGATCAAAGAGCTGACCTTGGGGGCTCCTACAAAACATTGCATTCACCTAGCCCTACTTGTACAGAATAAATCCTGGTCTTCACTGGATTCAAATCCAAATGATGTCAAACAAATAAATCCAGGTATACGGGATTATACTGTAACCAGAGAGGGGTAATCGATGTTCCTGCAACTCTTGTCATGAACATTGAAACGTCATTCCTGACATAAATGTGCCCCAAACCAAACACCCGATGTGATTTTCAGTTGAAATAAAATTCAGAATCCTATCCCTAGCGTGCAGATCGACAGGCCCTACGTTTGGTCGCCAGGACAACCTATTTTTTTATCCCCTTCTATCTGTTGTATTCAGTTGCACGCATTCTTTCCAACCCAACAAGGATGAACGATGGACACAAACCTGAATCCAACAAGCTTGGGGGGGGGGGTAAAACACCCTGGGAATCAATCTTCTCCTCCTGTCACTAGATGGTAATGTTACATTATTCAGTAACATGGCTCTGCACTTCCTATATACAGTATATTGGAAGCCATGACATCTGGTCTATATTACCATCATACGCAACACAGCATTTTAATGGCTGCTTTGGTAAGACTCAAAGTAGCAGAAGAATGATTCCCAAACTGGTCCCTTTAATAAAGATCATGTCCACAAGCAGAAACCTCATAGAGGGCTGACACTTGCCAGGGCTATAAAATGTTTGGAGGGGGTGGGGGTGGGGTGACGCTAATAAACAATTGAATGACCCTGGCCAATGTGTGTACACAAACATGACACTGCTCCAGTAGACATAAAATTAATCAATTGTTAGAAAAATGTCAGAAATGTAACAAGTAAAAAAACCAAACAACTAAAACCTAAAAATTAATACTACGATACATATTCTACATCAGCTCTAATAAATGTCACGCGCAACATAGACAATTGTCCCTATAGGTGAAGTATGACGAGTTTGGAGTCATTTTAATGGCACAAATTATTCATGCTTGAACCACCAGCAGATGCAGCACACACGGCAGTGTGAATAACACTGGAGATTATGTAATGTTCCTCCAGCCTAATAAGTCAGCGCACACCATTTTTTACCCTCTTACAATAAAATACGCCCCACTTCACATTGGGAGACTTTCAGGAACATAGTAAATGTCTATTTTCTGGCCAGCGGAGAACAAAGGGGGTGGGCTCTGCATTTTTTTCCCCAGGCCTTTACCCCACCCTATGAATACAGAACAGACTGAAGGATGTATTACATAGAAGATATTGGGGGGGGGTGGGTGTCATAACAGAACCCCTATATGCCTTTAAATGCACTGCAGACACAGGAACCGTAAATCTAATAGAATTCTCAGCAATAGATTAATTCACCCCAAATCTCAGCTAGGCTGCCTTTAACAAATAAATGATTATACATCAGCTTTAGATTAAATACCCACAACTGATCCAGATAGAAACATCACTATATAAATAAACATCAACACAACATCTAGGGAAGATCCAGCAGATCCTGATAATAGATACACTGAGTCGCCCCCACCCCCACTTCCTCCAAGCTAGGAATTACAGAAATACAACAAAAATAAAGATGTAGCTTTTTAGATCACATCAAATATTGTTGCCAATGATCAGTGTTGTTAGTAAACAGATATATTTGCTCCATTGTCTGCTTTTCGTCCAGCCAATCCAGTGCTCAGCTTAGAAAACAAGCAATAGGGGGGGGGGGGGATGTTTCCCCCTTCATTTCAGCCTCCTAAATCCAGGGGAGCCCCTCAATATTGGTATGGGTGTGTAGCCAAGAGCCCCCTGTGTCTGCTCCTGGGGGTGTCATGGGTGGGGGGTGTTCTGGGGGGCAGGATGACAAGAGATTGCCGGGAGCTGGGTTTACCTGCTGTGCCTGTGTCTAGCTGCTCTGCTTCTCTCCTTCCCCCTTCAGTCTGTGAGCTGTCTCTACTCCCTTCTACACTCATTGAATCCGACTGCCAAACCCCAGTGTGATGTCATCCTTGTGAAACTTAAAGAGACAACACCCCTTTTGTGGAACAGATGACAGTCCTTCTCACACTGATACAAGCAGGATCCTGAGCACAGATCTTGGTGTCCACAACTGATTGCAAAACTACAGCCAGGTAGGAAAGATTTCTCCTCCATAAATAAAG